GATACATAAGCCTTTAGCGCATCAATTTTTAGGAATAAGGATGGTGAATTGTTTTGTTGTTTCAGATTTACGTGAGTGATACTATTATTTTCATCTACGCTTGCAAGGATGCTTCTCACATTATGTGCAGAAATTTTCAGACGGCTATGTATACCTTGACTGTTTTTGGTCTCGTCTACACTACAAAAGTTAACGGAGCTTTAAGCAATTCTATTGGCTTAGCTCCCCCGTTAACTTTTGTAGTGTAGACGAGGCCTTTGTTAGTTGACATAAATATTTTTAGGCCTTGTCTACACTACAAAAGTTAAAGCAGCATTAAGCAATTCTATTGGCTGAAAGTTAGTTTAAGCCAATAGAATTCCTTAAAGCTCCTTTAACTTTTGTGGTGTAGACAAGGCCTTTCATACTGCTCTTTTCGTTCTCTTTTCTGTAGAGATACAGAATTTAATAGATGCGAAGCAAATGTCAATAGAGATATATCTCGACCTGAATGTCCTACTAAAAAGATGTTGTTTTTGACGGTGAAACATTATACGTCCACTTTTGAAAGAAAATTCCTTTTCAGACAAAAACTGGTATTCATTTTTTAAGATTTTGATTTATCGTATTGCTTTGCCGCTAACGGAATACATACGAGTGAAAAAGCAAGGGGGAAACAGCTGATTGAAATCACCCAAAATCAATTGATTTTCAGTGATTCTCTGTGATTTCCAATGATTTCTGGTGACTTTTCATTTGGTGAAAATCGGTGGAAATCGGAAAAATCCCAAAATCAGTTGTTTCCCCCTTGGAAAAACGTTAACGAGCCATGACAAAAAATTTGTATATGAAAGGATACCATTTGCCCTGTTCCTTCGGGATAGGACGTTTTTTTCAAAATACCTAGCCGAATTTCCACAAGAAACTTACTCGTGACGATCAAGACGCTTGGAAATATAAGTTTTGGATTTATATGTATTTGGGCCTACTACAGATCAAAAACAGCCGACTTCAGAATCTTCAGACAACAGAAACTTCAGAAATCTTTCAAGTTTTAATCAAGATCTTGGTTCAAGATTTTTTACTTGGGATAGTTTGCTATTTCTTATCTTTATACTTTCGAGATAAAGGTCAAACTACTAAAAATGTTGATTGCATCTATGTCTGCCTATATAAAGCAAAGAAACACAAAAGGAGTAACCATAACGTCAATCAGTGAATTAATTTTATTTTTTATTTGTTCTTTATTTCTCACGTTTTATGCATTTTGATTGGTTTTATCCAACTATAAGTAACCTTGACTTCGGAACTACCAAGTAGTAGTTAGGTAATTGATTTTACTTCCAGAGATGCACTGGGTACTCATTTTTCAGAATCTGTCTCACTCCATCAATTTCGAAAGGAATTCGCCCCGCCATCGTGGAACTTTTCTGCGTTTCATACTTTATTTCAAAACAGTTAGAGTAATATACATAAATAGAAATAGAAAATTTTATGTCTATTTTTCTGCGGAACGGACGACGATTATGTCGTTTACTGCTTGTAGGTTTAGATTAGGTCATAATGATTACGCCTACAGCCGGAAAAAAATCCGCTTCGAAGGGATCTCGTCTGGTCAGTTGTAGATCGTCCGAAGCGGTCGTCCCAACGGCTTCGGGACTTCTTAAGACTCATCGGCGCGTTTCCTGTTCCTCGTGCATCTCTGGTAACTTCAAGTTCACCATTGACTGTTAGATGTTATCGAATTCAATAAAATACACAAAATATGTATTCGTTTTCAAAGCTAGAAAATGGACAGTGCATATGCTGACAATAAAAAGAGCGTGCTATCTTAGAAACCTTTTTTATTAATGAAAAAAACGTACGTAGACTTAATTGATTGGACCGTTTTTAGTCTAAAGAAATTTATTCTCTTAAAGTAAATCATTCAGCAACTGTGTGATATCATGGCAATATTATGCCTAATTATCAGCTGAGAGTGCCGCTAGTATTCTTTTGTGTTATTAAAGACGATATAAATTCTACTCAATAGAGACAAATCGAAACTTTATTTATTGGGGAAAAAGATCCAATTATATTAACCAGCAATAGCTTTTCGGTATTTTACCTGAATAATATAAATTTCTCTTTCTTAGGTTAAGCATGTAAATTTCAGTGTAATTGCACCACAGTGTGTAAATGAAAAGTCTCCGTAGTTTTCTTTTGGTATACAAAACGTCAGGTAAAAGAAAATTTTAAATTCATGATATTATTTAAAGACCTTTTATTACATTAGTATGTGTATCCATTTAATTAGGCGTTTTCACAGTATTACTCAAGGTCGAAGGTACACATATTTAAGAGACATATTATCCATTTTCTATATTGGCATAGCATTACATATCAATACAGTTTTACTAAGGTTTTTTAGGTGTAAAAGAATTCGTTTAAAATTAAAGCATGGATGTTGCTGTTGTCCCTCTTTTGAAGCGAAGACAAATCTGTGAAAACGTTAAAGTACGCACAATAATAAACGAAGAAAAGTTTCATGATGAACTTGATAAAACAATGGATAATCGGAAAAATGATCATACAATTAGTGGCCGTAAACGTCCAACACCAGAAATATCAATGAATATCACGGAGTCCAAACGAAAAAAAGATAATGTTGAAGACAATGGTATTTTGGTTGAATCACATGTTCTGGATCAAATCCGTCACCGCACATTCTCCCATTGGACTACGATACAGCCAAGTAAATCGCAAATGATCGAAGCTGGCTTCTTCTACTCTAATGTTCATGATAGGGTTTTATGCACTTATTGCAATTTAATTTGCCAGCAATGGACAGCAGAAGATGAACCAGTCTTTGTCCATAAAACAATTTCACCAAATTGTTATTACGTTAAATCCTATTTGAACCTAAATCCTTGCTCAGTTGTCACTGATCAAACGTTACCAACACTTGGTAATCAAGTATGTGCTTTAAATTTCGGCCGTAATCAACAATATAGTGATATATCGAAACGTCAATCAACATTTTCAGCATGGCCAACAGATCAAAAACTACCTTCTGTTCATAATTTAGTTCGTGCTGGTTTCTTTTATACAGGTATAAAAACGATTGTGACATGTTTCTATTGCAATGGTTCTCTCCACAACTGGGGACCAAATGATCAGCCACATATTGAACATGCGAGATGGTTTCCACATTGTGTCTATATTAAACAATTATGCGGGAATAGATTGTACCAGCGAATTCAGCAATTAAAACACGGTGAGTCAGCATATTCCATTGAGTGAAGACTGAAGTTTAGAGTAATACAAAATAAATGAACGGCCGACGATTGTTTTCCGTTAGTCATCAAAAACCATACAAGCGCGAGAAGAATTGTGGCTCTTGCTTTCTGTTTTTGACGCCTCGTCCAGAACTAAGCGCGACCGATTGATCGTTCGTAGAGGAAAAAATGAGAATAAGACGATAAAACGTACAGGATTGAGATTTACAGAATGTTGAATTCTTGCACTCATAGTTTTGAGAACAGAGACTTTAAGGTCTCGAAAAATCCAGTTCAGGTGCTGTAGGATTTTGACAATGAAGTTTTCCGAAATCTTATGTGAAAGTTTGTCAAGAAGGAAAAAGTTATCTGATGAGAATTTTCACACTTACATGTAAACAAGAATATGAAACAAAACAGTGATTAAAGAATTATCAAGATCTCAGTTTAAAAAATTCTACTGAGGAAAAACGTTTTTCTGTAGGCGACATGTATGGCTTATGAAAGATTTCACGTAGACCACACGCGACAAAAGAGTTTTCTTTGAATAAAAGTATGTCAAACGGTTCTGATTGTGTATATTTCTTAAAATATGCAGCGATATCATAAGCTACAGTGTCAACTTTCTTCAAATATCCTGTCATCGATTTGATGTCGGAAATGACTGCATATAATCAGATGGAACATTGACCAGAAAATTCTGATATCGCCTATGGAAGAAAGTTGTGAAAAGAGAAAATGTTCAGCTTATCTGTTCAGAAAATGAGGACCCATCTAGAGACCTGCACGGATTAAGAAAACGTAACCCAAACCCGATCCGACTGTGAAAATGCTTTATAAAAAATTTACTCTTTTGTTTTGTTCTTAAGTTTTTGTCTGTTTATTTACGTATTTGTTTAGCGGAGAGCATCGCATTAGAGGCGAGTGACCTTTTCCTAATAGTCTGGTAATATTACAGAAACTTAATATTATTTTTATATTATTCAGAAAAAAATTCGCGCAATATCACCTCTAATAAAAAGGAAATGTTATCATTGAAAATTGTGCGGTTTGGAAAAACATTATTTTCCTTCAGGAAAAAAAGTTCAATAACTAGCGAATTGAGAAAGATATCACGCTCAAAGTTTCTCTGATATTAGCAGACTATTAGTAAAAGTACAAAAGAAAATTTCATCTCTTAACTCTTGTTTTGACTGGGTTGCAGAATTATTACTGTTACTACACACAGTGTTTCTTTAGAACAACAAATTTCATAACTTTTGAAAGAACTGATATGGGTCGTCCTTTAAGGGTTTTTAACAGCTCACTTTCCTCTATTAACTGAAATAATATTACTAAAAACGAAGTTGGGCATCTGAAGACCTTGCTTCGTTAGTGAATGCAGTTGTTCTGGAATAAGTATTTCAACTGAAAATTCCAGTAGAATTAACTTTTCACCAAGTAATACAAAACTGAAATTATTATGTATATTTTGAATTGCGCCCCAAAATGTTCGACCCGAACCCGACCCTACCGAGTCGGGTCAGGTTACAGATCTCTAGACTCATCCTTAATTACATAACAGTTCAGGATTCCAGGCATCAGCTAGGCAAATTGGCGATCTGCTTTTGGAATTTCGACACGTCAAAGTTACAAGGGAATTTCTGCGAATTGAGAACTTTCATTGAACTTTCGACAAATGCAAAAATTCCAATGAAATTTGTCAAATTTTAGAAATTATTTTGAAATTTTGACACGCTGTCGAAATTCCAACACTGTCAGAAATAATAGCATGGCTTAATTACTTTAATACGCAATAAATTTAGCAACAACTGAATACACGGTAAAAAAAACAGCGTCCAAATGTTGACGCTTTTTAGTGGGCTGTGTTTTCGTCACACTTTGGTATGCTTTTTTGCTAAACGTTTTTGTTTCTGGACGAATTTTTCCGTATGTTTTTTTGTTATATGAAAATACAAAATGAAAAGATTTACAAATAATATTTTACTCACTTAATATAAACGCTCTATACTTTGGAAGCACTCCTGATCTGCTGGACCGATCCACTATCGCAGGAAATCAGCCGTTTCTGAGATAAGCTAGTGCAGTGAAACGAGTCAGCTATGCAGGCAGTATGCACTTAAATACTATGCTTGGACGAATTTTTGCGGACTCATTTTTGTCAATGCTTTTTTAGTATACTTTTCGTGGACGATTTCTAGTGCGCGCTTTTTTGGACGCTT